CCCTGGCAGTGGCGGTGGGCTGCCACACTCCACCTTGACCAGCTACTCAATTTCCCGCAACCAGGACATGTTCACTTGATCAGAGCTCCCGCTTGCGCACACTTTACCTGGTTGTCGATGCGCAGCTCTATGAGCGATGTGTTGCCCTGGAGCGCTTCAACAACAGCCAGGATCCCTGACCCAGAAATGAAGTTTGATTCCACATTCAGGCTCTTCAGCGTGTTATTGACCTTCAGCATTTCTGCCAGTGCCTGCGGGCAGAGGTGGGTGGGAAGAGCTGGCAGTCAGACAAGCAGGGACAGAGCACCCCGGAGCAGCAGGGTTCAACTCCCCTCGCCTCCAGAGGGCACTGGGAGGACCCTGTGTGCCAAGCAGTTTCACTGCCACCAGATGGGTGAGCTCTGTGTGGGGTGAAGGGGGTTCCCCCCTGTTGCAGGGGGATTCTTGAACATAAGCATGCTGGAGGCCGCAGTAAAACCTTGTATGGAGAAACACTTAGGGCCACCCCAAAAGGCGACAGTCCACAGCTGCAGCTGCCCCGTGACAGCTTCATCTGTCCCTCTTCTAAAGCCAGCATGGTGATGGCAGGATGCTGGCCAGTGTCGACCCTGCCTCCTGCCTGACCTCCCTGACCTCTCTGCCTGCACTGCTCCTTCTGCGTGGGGCTGAGACGCTTCCCATCACAGCAGGCAGAGAGAGGAGTGTCTGTCTTGAACAACAAGGGATTCTCCACATCCAAGACATCCTCCCAAGCAGCATCACAACCTTGTTAATCACTTTTGCTTCCCTCAGCGGGCAAGACCAGAAATGGGCTGGCACTTCTACATCATGAAACAGAAGGACCAGAAAGTGACGCCCAAGTGGCAGTGTTGACCTGCACCCACTCACACAGCACTTGGCTCCACCACTCCCTTAGCCCTGCACAGTGTCCCACGGGCCCTCAAGCAGCGTGAGTGCTGCCTGCACAGGCTTCTTCCCCAGTCCAGTGTGCCTGAAATAATGTGAGGGCTGTACTCACCCTCCAAAAAGAAGGTTTTTTTTTTTCTAACAGGAAGCTGGTGTGCACGTGTGTGTGTGGACATAGGTAGGGGTGGCCTGGGTGAAGAAGAGCAAAAATTCGTTGCAGTGGTGCTGGAGGAGTGTGCAAGGATGCAGCCTGCAAGGTAACACGAGGGCCAGGCAGAACAGCTCAGCACCTCTCTGCATCCCCACTGATATTTAAGACCACTTGCAGCAGCCAGAAAGACCCTTTATCACCCACAGAGGCCACGCATAAGAAATGTGGAGTCCTGCTTCTGCACAGGTCTGCACAAAGGAATATATGGAAAAGAGCCGGACCAGAGGTGTGCAAGGGGAGGGACGGGTGTGCACACAGCAGCATACCAGCAGAACCAGGTACCAGGCTTTGTACCAACAGAAACAAATGGTGTGGCCCTGATGTATGATAAATCGAGAGAGACAAACTGCTTTTGCAAAATGCCACTAGGAAGTCAGTTCTTGTCTCCGCTCCTTTTCCGGGAGATCCTTGAGGACGAATATGAGACCAAATGGGATTAAAGGATTGTGTCCTGAAATCTCCGCAGCTGAAAAAGGAAGCGAAGGAACCAAAGCCTGTCTGTCGCTGGCTTTCACCAGTGCTCCTGAAACTGAAGCACCTGCACCAAACGCCAGAGGTGCAGAACGTGCCAAACGCCACATAAGGTGCAAAAGCAGTCAGTCAGTAACTCTAAAAATACTTTGCTCAAGAACAGCTCCTGTCACAACTTTATGACAGTGAGTTGACAGTACTTACGAAAGCAACAGGATCATTGCTCCGTGTCCCAACTATACTGAACTTCTTCACATAGGTGTTATTTTTCAGTGCTTCCGCAAAAGCTTTTAAAGTTGGTATGGGAATATTCTGTGAAAAGAAATGCAGAAAACCTGTGTTATGCCATCATCTGTATGAAGGAATATGCAATATATTTAAATGATACTTTAAATTTCTTATCAAGGTCAAATCACCAAATGCACTGAAGTAATTTAGGAAGGGGTCGATAAATGTTTTTACAAGTTCTCTTGCTATAATCAGTATGGCCTAAGGAAAATGGCAATGTTTTCATCCTATTTCCCACTCTGCTGATAGCTCACTGCCTTGATTTGAAGCTACAATGTCTCTGCTGTTTAATTTAATTGCCCAGAAACTCAGCTACTTATGAATGCAGGCGTTGTGGGGATGTATGTAACTAGCATCCATGAGCCTACAAAGCACTGCTCCTGCACTTTTTAGTGTGACTTTTTAGAATGACAGCACTGAGCAACATTCATGTCATGTTCAGGAAAATTTCCACCCCACGATCGTGGGGCCTGATCCAGAAAGACCTGAAATGATCTCCTTGTACTACAAACCACAGACACCTCTGACTACTTTATACAACATCTTTCAGGCTAACATTTGGCATGCTAGGTCTCAGCCCAGAAAATAAATCCATGCTGCTTATTCTGAGTTCCTACAAAATCAGTATTTCTCACTTATCGAGCACTTTAGATACCCTTTTCAGATGCACAAATTTTCACCTGTCTAAAATGATCTAAATGATCACCTGTTTTAAGTGGTATCCTCAGCTTGGACTTCTTGCCACACCATTTGGATTCCACCATGTGGAACCATCTATAGTCAAAGCCATGTGCAGAGCCATAACACAGAGCCCAGCAGCTTACCATCTCCGCTGCCACTCCTCAGTTCTCCAAACCGTGTCCCAAAGTCATGAGTTCAACACAGAAAAAAAGTGCCTGCCTGCCAGATCTTCAGCCTGGTGTCCTCAAGGGACGTTCAGGGTCACTAGCCAGAATCAAATACATGAAAGTAAAAATCTTTTCATTATGGAAAGGTGCAGGTGGCATGGCACAAGTGTTTTTAATGTGCATGTGCAGCTAACCACATTCTTGTTATTTGAATATGTCAACATTCAACAGACCCCATGGGATGGGGGTCCTGGAGTCACGGAAGACAGACGGAAACTGTATTTTTTACTATGTGTATGTGTCCCAGAGGCAACATAAGAAGTGGTGCTGTGTCCTGATTTGCTTTCTACAAGGAGTAAAGGAGTTCCACACAAGGGATGGGTGGGAGATTGACAGGGCTACCTGCAAGAAGGGAGGTTTCTTCATATTTTCATGGCAAGTATCAGGATTATGAAGCCTGTTTCCTCCCACCTTTTTATCTTACATAAACAGCCCCTCCACCAAATGTGCCTGACTAAACCGTTAAAGCAACCTAGAACGCCTTTAACCAGACAGGCTGGAGATTGGTCTCCCAAACTACCCTCAACACAGCTCCACTTTTCCAAGCATCTACAGAAGTCCTCCTGCTACCAGCCCCACACCATTGTCGCACAGCAGGTAACAACCCCTATTGCCCAAAATGGAGATGGGAAGCACTGGTGTTTCTTGTCTGGCTACATGCAGTGTTATGGTATTACTCTGTGCAGCAAAACAGACTTGGTCTCTGCCTTCTGTGTTTGGTCCTGTTATTAAGAGAGGAGAGTAGAAAGGAGCAAATACCATAATATTGTTAAGGTTGACTTCCTCAAGGTCAGGATCATTGCTTTGTATTCGTTTCAGAGTTTCCTCCACATCCGTTGAGTTCGGTTCCTCATCAGGAACTGGTTTGTACTTTGTGGGCTTAATCACACCTGCAAGTGAAAAGCAAGACATGTGAAACCAAAAGCACCCTGAGCAGCAGCATGTTCTCTTTGGGTGCGTTTCTCCTCTTCCAGAAGCAGTGTCAGGAGAGGGAAGCATGACCTGACAAACAGACACACGGTGAAAGACCCAACAAGCACTTGGCAGCTCCATCTATGCTCATGTGCGTCCAGAAACACTGCCTGGCAGTGAGGCCAACCAGCACAGGACAGCCGGTGCCTGCTGCTATGTGCTCCCAGGGTCCAAAACTGGGTGATGGAGGGCACACCACCTGTGTGGGGCTGTTTCCTGGGCTGTGCTAGCTCCTGGCCAGTGCCAGGGCAGCGGCTGAGACCGCACTGGCTCTCACAGGGCAAGGATGCACCAGGGATGGCCCCAGCAATCACAGGCTGCTCTGACAGTCATGGCTCCAACCTTCAGCCTAAAAATAATTCCCACTTTGCCTCTGCTAGCAGCTTCAAAGCCAAACACTGCAGCCTGCTAATACTCTAAGTCACTTACTGTTGAGCCCTTCTTTGTTCACAATGGTGCTGCTCCCCAGTGCCTCATAGTACTGCTGGTTACTCATCAAGGTGTGCATGCCAAGGATGGCTACAGAAACAGGAGAACACAAGTTGAGTTATTGCAGGCTCCAAAGCCAGGAGAAGATGCATCCATGCCGTGCTGCCCGGGATGGGGGTCCGTAGCGCATTACCTTTCCCTGTGCAAGCACAGAACAACATACAAAGGTGGGACCAAGCTACCTGGCTGTCATAAATACACAACAGGGCTCAAATGTGCTCCCTTGTTTATTCCAATGTAGCATGATTCATAGGAGAAGAGGAACATCATCTTGTGGACAACAAACAGACAAACAGCCAAGTCTTCCCAGTAGCCGACTTGATTCAGCATCACGCAAAAATAGCGAGGGGAAGACAATAAAAGACAAAAAAAAATGCCATTGGTAGGATTTAATCTAAGGGGTCCAGTCCAGCAGGAGCCTGCACATCGTCATCACCCTTGCTCACCTGGGCATGTGCCACACACTGTGACAGTCCAGTTTTTGAGATGAGCTGTGCCCCACGCAGAACCAAACCGACCCCTCAGGCAGCAACATACAAGGTGACTGTCACCCGAAGCGTGGCAACGCACACCATGTTTTCACTCAACAAGTGGGGGTGGTGAGGGTGGTGTGCTTTGAATTGATCTTTGTACGCTTGGAAGTTGACATTGTGAGAACCTAAAGCTCTGCTGGCTTGGTCGAAATGCACAAAGTGATGGTATGAGCAAAATTCAAAGACTGTAAGAGCCCAAAAGCCAAACTTCTGCCAATTTGTGTCTCTCAGGCTCATGACTGCAAAACCAATATGCAAATGCACATTGAAACGTGCCCAGGGTGATCTGCTGACTTTCTTGCCAGCTGCAAATGAGCAGTGGGAATCCAATGGCTTAGAAACATTTGGGGAAAGATTCTGTTTATAAAAATAACTCTGCTACTCACAGAAAGTTCATGTTTGAAAATAAACTGGGGTTTTAATCAACTTTTTTTTTTTAAATAACTATATGATTTTCTACAGAAAAATGCAGACATGTGAATACTTGTTATAAACAGACACACTTGAACAAATCTTGACCTCCAGGTGGGCACAGTGGTTAAAATAAATAAAGGACAAATCTCTCCCTAAAATTCAAGCATGTCACCACAAAGGCGCTTTGCTTTCCCATGAGCTGCTCCTCTTATGCTTGGTTGGCACCAGTCCGTCACCATTTGCTCGGTGCTTTGGCCAGGAAGGGTTGGGAGTTGCAGGAGAAGGCTATCCCTGAGGCCCATCACATGAATGGCATCTGTTACAGTGACAGCTCACTGTGACTCCAGGTCTGGGTTGCAGGGGCAGGACAGCCTGCAGCAAAGGGCATCAACGAACACCACCGTCCACTTGCCCACCCCTCCCCCAGCACATCCCTGGTTGGATTGCACAAAACCAAGCAGTCTCTGTCTGAAAGTCTGAGTGAGGTTGGGCACTTCGAGTTTGCTTGTTTGTATTTTAGCTGGCCCTTTTCTCTGCCATATACTCACAGCCGAAATTTTCAGGAGTGCAATACAGCTCAGAAAAGTAATTTGCAGGCTCAGCATTCTGGGGACACACGTACACCCCAAACACAGCTTAATCTGACAATGAAATCTCTCCACCAGCCAGGACTGTGAATACCTGAACTGCAGACAGAGGGAAGGATCTGCTGTTGTGACCACGCGGGGTTTTTTGGGGTGGAGTTTGTGCTGGTAGACAAGAGGGACCCGCTCTTGGTAAGCCTGGTGCTTACTGTGTATTATCCGAAGGAACTCAAGCAGAATGAAGGCATCCCATTTCTGCCTGCCCCAGCTGACCAAAGGCACGGGAGCCCTTTCAGGACTTGTTGGGAGCCACCCACAAGAGCTATCCTACTGGCCTTGCCAAGGAAGGGATCCAGTGCACCATGGCTGACAATGAGCCCTGATAAACAGGCAGGAGCTGTTTCACAGCCTTAGCAAACTTGGAAAAGCAACACTGTCACTGTCAATATTGAGATTTCAGCACAGCTTGTATCACATCAGTTCTCCTGCTGCCACTTCAAGTGTATTCTCCCAAGAACTGCAGAACAAGCTGCCCAGAACAGCATTTCTCTATGAAAATAATTGCTGCACAGATCTGGAGCTTAGAAAGGCAGATTTTATAGGATAGGGCTTTATAGGACTCTAGGTGTACAGTAAAAAAGCAAAACCCAGAGATGCAATGCTCGGCCAAGGTACATACGTTGGAAGCCTTAATGCAGAAACACATTTCTAAGCCAGAATATGATATTATGTACAAGATGTCTAGATGGTGTGGTTATTCTACAGGCTATCTTACAGACTTCTGGCAAGGAGGATACTGCTAGGGAGTATGGAAGTCTGGAGGAGACAGAACTGGAAGAAGAAGCCAGTAGCACTGAAGTATTCATCAACTGCTAGACCAGCAGGGAACATGCGAGCTCGGTAAAGCACCAAGGGGGTGTTCATACGCTCCTTTGGCCAAGGCATATCCTATCCCAGTCACAAAGCTAAGTCCACGCTACTGGCTTCAGCAAGATACCAATATTGTCATCTCTAAAGTGGCAGAGCAGTGAGGCTTGCAGGGGGTTCCCTGAGACAACACTGCCTGAAAAGCAGCAATGCTTGAACTTACCTAGCATGGAGGCATTAACCCCTCAGACTCGGACCACACCTGTCCTTCTTGGTTTGCCTGGGGCTTGTTTAGCCTGGTGAAGTGCACACTGTCAAGGCTCAAACAGCACCTGCAGTCGCCCTGTCCCCCTCTCCAGCTCACTGTGCATTCCAACCTGCTTCTCCATCATTGTGAAGTACATCAACCTTTTAATGCTGGATTCCTCCACCCCTGAGCTAACACTCACAAAACCAACCAACTGCATGAATCACAAGAAATCCGTAGCTTTAAAATGTGTTGGAAAAGCTCTTTAACAAACAGCAGACCTGAGCATCCACTGAAAGACTGCTCTAACCTGACAGCTCCTTTAAAAGGTTGCACAAGAAATCCACATTCTCACTGGGTGTTTGATTGTTTCCTAGAGGTTTGGCTTGAAGAAAGCTGGGCTCCTGAAGGTGACAGGCTGCAATTTGCAAGATTCAGTGGCAGAGACAGGAGAAGAGATCAAACAGCACACTCTGTTCCCTTGATAAATCCTTCTTCCCCCTCCTCAGTTTTGGTCCATGCTCTTGATTAAATCACATGGGCTGAAAGTAACTTTAAATATACACTCTTCTTTTTTAACAAAGAAATAAATCATGTCAAAACTGACAGCATTCAGATAAACAGCAAAAAGCTCAATAGCTCATTTCCCACAAAAGAACAAAGGAAGAGAAACTAGTAGTCGAACAACTTGAAACCCCGATTCACGTGAAACTATTTTACCAGCAATGTCACAGAGCTCTGCATCAGAGGCATTAGCAAGGGCTTCCTCCAGTTCCGGCTCCAGAGTCACACTTTCCAAAACAGGATCTATCGGCTTCTGCTTCGGGATCCAAGCTTTTCCTATAAATGCAAAGTGAGGTCACTCTCAGTATAGCTATAGCACCTGTTTCACAACTAGCCATGCAGATGCATTTCTGTGGGGTGAGATTTGCACCGTGGAAAGGACAGAGGGGGCACAAGGACCTAGAGAAAAATCAGAGGAGACACTGAATCCCCTCCCATTAGCTCGGTCTGAGTCCTGCTGTGATGTGGGCCAGGAGGCACCCGCCAGACACCTCCAACTGTGGAGCTGGATTCTTTCACCAGCGTAGAGGGCTGCATCTACAAAAGCCCAATAGTACATTTGTGCAGGACGATGACTGTTCAACACACAGCACTTAGAAAGCCATGCACAGCCTGACCCTGCAGGACTTCACTTCTTTGAAGGCTGCATAAAAGGGATGGAGGTTTGCCAGCACTCACATGGACTAAAAGAGGCTAGTGGCCCGGATCCAGCACTGTGCAGGATTGGTCCTGCCACTGAGACAGCTCCTGCTGCTAACTCCAAATGCACGGTGGCAGGGCAGATGGCACATTAGTCAAAAGAGGGTGGAAAGGAGGTGGTGGAGGGGGTCTGGCAGCAGGCAGGGATAGCAGTCGGCTATCCAGCAAGCACACGGGATGCAAGGAGGAGCAGGCTTGGGGCAGCTGGTCTGACTCAACGTAGCAGAGGACAGTAGGGCAGGGGGGAGAGACACAGAGGGCATGCCAGATGGAGACCTCCGTGCTCTATCTCCTGGGACAGCAACAGGCCTTTTCCCTACAAGTCAGAGGTGCAAAGCAACAGGTACAGCTAGTAATGCAAAGCTGCCAGCTCAGCTGCTTGCTTGTGGCCTTTTCCTAACGGGGACTGCCCACATGGACAAGGGGCTGTGCAGTGAGTGACGCAGCTCCAGCCCAGCTCTGAATGCCATGGGCTCCCCAGCACTCCCCCATCCCATTGCCCAGGATGATCACCAGGCAAGCCACAACCCTTTCTCTGCCGGAGCTGGCTGCGTCCCAGGGAGGTGTGGGGCAGCAGACGGGGTTCATGGCATTGCATGGCTGCTCCCAGCTCTTAACTGCTCACACCACCAACAGGCGGGCAGATCTTTTTGCAGAGGCTGAATGCGTCAGGTCTGAGATTTCACAACAGGGCACCTACCTGCGACCGCCCCCGCCACCAAATAAAAGAGGCTTGTGGTGTTTTAACACACCACGGCAGGGAGCAGTCTGTTGGGTAAACCCAGCACTGCTGCAGGATGGGAGAAGGAGGAGGGATCCCAGAGCATTTCGGAGCAGTCCCCTCCCCTGAAATAGTCCAGAATCACTGCAGAGAGATAGCAAGTGCAAAGCTCTCAGCCTGGCATGCCAGCCAGGACTATTTTTGTCCCCCCTCTGAAACCAGAGTCAGTGGCACCAAAGGGGAGAAACAAAGATCCTGCTGCTCAGGGATGTGCAGAAACAGAAGGGGCTAAATTTAGCCTCAAGGAACTGTGCTTCGGGCTCCCCCAGTATGAAATGGAGGCTGCTATAAACAGCGTTTTGCAAAACAGCCCATCTCCTGCCTGCATGCTGCCACCCTGACGAAGAGGGCAGGAATCTGCCTCCTGGGACACAGCTGCTCTCGCAAAAATAGGCAGAGCATCATGTGTGCCTGCATGGTCAGGCACCTTCTGGGTACTCTGCAGCAAAATGTCTGGAGAGGGCTGGCCCCCTCAGCTCTGGCTTGGTGTGGAGACCCGGAACCATTGTCCCACTGGACACACGGCTCGGCAAACTGTGCACACCATCTGGTCAGTTCAGCAGGGAATAGGAAAAACAGGGCAAACTTAATTCTACCATCACACAGTAACTCCTTTTGACATCTCAGTGTCATCAAAACTTCTGGGTTTTAGTTTTAGAAAGTTTCATATCTCAGTCATGCTTTATTACAGGTTTGAACTTTAAATTAAATGGTGCATGCAAACACAGCATTATATATCGTAATACAGCATGTATGCACACACCAACTCTTACCCTGTCCAGCGGCACGGCCAAGGAGAGCACCTCCCATGGCAAACTAGTAAATCACCCTCCGAACCACAAACGTGATGATTTATTCCCAGCTCTGCCACAACTGTGAGTATGTAATTTACCATCTCTGGCTCACAGTCAAAGTAGCGTCTTCACTCCACAGCGTGTTACAAGTGAAAATATGTTTAATGTGTTTGAGATCACATCAGATTGAAACATGATTAGCTCAGACCAGAAGCTGAAGACTCAAAATGCCTGAAATACCTCCATCTCCTGTGGAGCACTGCTATTACCTGCTGTGCTAGCCAGGTGGGTAGCCAACGCTGGGCTGGGGTACATTTGAAGTTGCTAAATTGCTCTTCCTGATAGCACTCAATTTACTCTTTTAATTTACTTCTTTCAAGGAGAACTCATTTTTTTTCCTAAAAATACCACCTCAAGTTTTATTAAATGGACAGATTTAACACAAGCTCTTTCTCAGAGAGGCATGTGGATCAGTAAGGACGCAGCTTTGAGAAAGAACTCAGTTGGGAAACATGCTCACATGTGTCCATTTTCATGCGCTTCTTTTTTGACACGGGGCAACCAGTAGTGCCAACAGTGTACAAACAGATCTTCTGCTGCACGGGAACCATGGTACAGCGGGAGACACAACAGCAGAAAAAAGCTGCTGAGAAGCTCCTGGAACCCAGATGCAAGGACTGACCGGGCCACATCCCATGTCAGATGATATTCAGAGTGCTAATGGGAGCAGGAAAGTCCTTTGGATAATGTGACATGTCCCAGGAGAATAGGAAAAGATGCCAGAAGGAGAGGAAAGAGAAGAGGCACACAAACCCCTTACTCACAGGCCCCAGGGCCACGCAGAGCAAGGGTGCAGCAGCCACCACAGGGCATGGTGCAGGAAGACAGAAACATGCAAGCTGCAGGAGGCTGGGAAACGAGGCTGGGGTTGTCAATAAGTGATGAAGACTAGACGGGAACTGTTGGGATCATCACAGCTGAAGGGACCTGTGGAGTTTCTCTATACCAAGATGAAGTTCAGAGCGTAGGGATAGAGCATGAAAGGCAATGGCGGAAGACAGAGCGCAGCCTGCAGAGCTCACAGGACGACAGGGCAGAGGAGGAACAAGAGAGGACAGAAGATGAGGTCTTCCCCAGAGCTTGATACAGCTGCAGTGGGATGGGGACGGAAAGAGGCTGCACAGTGGTACAGCCTCTGTCCATCACCTAACAACATATCAGGCAGTACCCAAATCAGCAAGCACATGGACCTCTTGGGCACACCCCAGTTTATTAGCCAGCCTGGGCTGGGGCTAGACAGCAGAGAGGGCAGATCCACCACCCCAATAGTGTCAAAATGAAGTCATGCTTAGCAATGCGGGTCAGACACAACCCTTCTGCTGTGTACCCACTGTGTCTTCATCGTGACACACTCAGCGTGGAGCAAAGGATGACCATACCTCTCTTTTCACCTGTGAAAGGAACCAAGTCTTCTCTGTCTTTAACATCCTTTGCCTGCTTTTCTAGGTGCGCCATGAGTTCCTCCCTTTTGAACGGGCCAGTTGGTGGCTTTTGCGTCTGATCCCGCTGCCTGAGCCCTGCTGGCAGCAATGCGTTCTAGGCATGGAGGGGAGAAACACAGGTTATCTCTGCAGGCCACGATCCCCATCCATCAAACGCTCTCCCCTCTCCACTTTTCCCCTCTCCCCTCTCCTCATTGCACTGTCTTTCTTCCACATTGCTTGACAATTTGCTTCTCATGTCAAAGGTTATCTCCATCCAACCCCACTGATTCCCACATCATCTAAGACACATGATGCTCCTTCCCCCCTCCAGTTTCAAACGCTGGCTCCACTACAGGATCTCCACGCTGCCAAGTGGATGTTTCTCTACAACAGCAGCTCCAGCCCTTTCTCTGGGGGCTCTCAGCCATCACCTCCTGCTCCTCCTAGCCTCTTCCCACACCCTCAGCATTTCTGCTGCCTCTTTGCAACAGTTGCAGTGCCAGAACCAAGCTGCTAAACTCAACGGGTCTTCTCCTCCCTATACGTGTTTGTCCGACTGCCCACATGCCCCACATGTCCCAGCAAGAATCAGTTCAGGGAAATCCCATGGCCTTTCAGAGAGCAGACCAGAGAAAGGTGGTGGTCTCTTCTGCCTTTCATGATCCATCACAAAACTACAGACAGGGTCTCACAGAGAAGGTCACTCCATTGCAGAACAAAACCCCTGTGAACCTCAGCCCTTTTTCAAACTGCCTCCTTGTTATTCAGTCACATTAGCCACCATGGGAAGTTGCTCTGTGCCTGACACATACGGCACGTAAGCACCTGCTTATATGTAAATATAGAACAGTCTTAATGCAGTAAGTAAGACTATTCCCAGATTTGACACTAAGCATGTTCTTTAAAGCTTTGCTGGATAGAAGTCAACATTTACTTTTTAAGACATTCAAGGTGATTTTGAACAATGCACTGATTTTCCCATGCCCACCTCATAAAAGTAATTCATTATCATTTAAATCTGTATCAGTGAAAAGCCTGGGGAGGAAAATGACTAATAGGAAGCAATTAGACTTGGGCAACCTTGGAGGGCAACAGAGGAGAACTGTGCTAATGCACAAGCAGGGAGGCATAGGAAACAGCTTGCTTCCTCAGGCTTCATGCTGTGAGAGGTGACCATGCAATCTTTATGCTTTGACTCCTGTACTCAGGCTACGCCTGTACTGACAGATGTTCGTGATTATTTTACCTTTCTGCATCTTTCACAGAATGCTGCCTGACTCTGTGTCTTCTGAGGCAGCTGTAACCAGCCCATCAGCCCATACGCTTAATGCTGGGATCTAGCCTGCCACCTCCTAATTATTTTCCTGTGTTGCAGTTAAAAATACTGATGATGCAATCTACACCACTCATCATTTCCCCCAGAAACACTAACTGCATGTTGCAGGAACAATTTCTCACTTGGCAGTGCCCAGCCTCATCATCTAATGTTGCCATAACCCAGAGGACTGCCAGTTGGCTCTGCACATCCCCTGCTAGGGCCACAGGACAACGTTGCCTCCAACAAGTTTTCATTGCTTGCCTCTGGCAGGCCCAGTGTTTGCACATGCACAGCTCCTACTGATGTTGGGAGGTTGCTAAAAAGCAATTGTTCCATTTTGCAAAACTCTGGGATTTGGATTTCTGCCTAAATGGAGGAAAATACAGACCATTTGAAGTTTGCTATGAAAAAAAACCCAAACAACCCACAAACCCCTACACATTTCCTCCAAGGTGGCCCGATCAGAAGCAGAGATCCAGTTTCTGCAGGTTTACTGCCCTGCACCAGCACTGGCTCACATTGGTGCTGCAAATCACAGTGCTTGTCACACCAGAGCATGCACACCAGGGCAAGGGCAGGGGATTATCACAGAAACAACGTTCCACGTGTAGCCCGTGCTTGCGATGGGAAAACTGCTTCTGCTCATCTGTGGACAGTCTCTTCCATCCTTGCACTGAGTACAGGCTCTGCAAAGGATCCCACTTAAATACAGATTACTAATGCAGCCCATTCCCCCACAACTACTGAGATTTACCATCTAGCAAATCTCATGTAAAAATGACTTACATCAGGATCCAGCTCCTCCAGTTCATTCTCTAACTTCCTGAGCTCCTCCTCTGTCAGGGCTCCAAGGATCTTGTCTTCATCCAGGTCTCGATATTTTTCTAGCTCCTTTCTGTAAGACATCTTGGAGGAGTCTCGTGAATTTCACTTTTATGCCGAAACAGGACCTGAAATGAAAACAAGAAGTGTAATGCTGAATACATGAAACATGACGCTGCAGCCCGGCTTGTCGGGAAATGCTGAATACCACAGAGTTGCAGAAGATTTATGCTTAAAGCATGGCTGACTTCAAAGCCAGGTCAGATTGCTCAGGGCCCCCTTGTCCATGTCCTACATGCAAGTAACGGCCCATGGTCATGAGAGCGGCAGAACTTCAGTAGCACATTGCCCCATCACAGACTTACAGGGCAGCACTGAGGAAGTACTTTCTACAAGATGCTGGCTAGAGACATCTTCCTCCAAGCAATGCTAGATGTTAATGAAGTGTCCTAGGCATTTATTTCCTTGAAGGAACAATAAACCACAAATCATAAAGTCTGCAGCTCTCATGCCCTTTGTAAGGGCCCCCAGTAACACCTCCCTGCACATGGCACTCCAGATAACGTTGTCACCAGGTGGGAAAACAGATTTGTAGCATCACTGAGTCCCTCTGAGCCCTGCAAACCTCCACGAGGCTGCACTGCGCAGCACTCCTTCCTGTGTTTTAAAGCCACAAGTTGATCAGGAAGTATTATCCACTCGTGTTCAGAAGGCTGCCAGTTAAACGTGCTGTTTAGTGACCCTTCTTCCCTGAGACAACACGTGTTTGCACTGCTGCAAGCTAAGCAGCTGACCTGAGTGTTACTGCACGTCTAAACCAACCCTTCAAGAAGAGAAGTGGGAGTAACGTACTAAATGACCTATCCGGATAATCCCTGCTGACCCAGGGGGTTGTCCCATGTCTCCTAATATAAAATGCCATACACAATCACACGCACATAACTGGACCTCTGCCAGCTCTAAAAGACTGTAGTAGACCTTCTACAAAGGTCAACTTGTTTAAAATATGCAGGTGGGTTAAAAATACACTCACTACAACACACAAGAGTGTATCCAACTCTGCTTTTTTGCCCAAAGTGTCCTTCTGTTCCATAGCACTGTCTGTATATTTACATATTTTGGCTCAATTTTTGCGGAGAATATTGAACTCTAGATAATTTAAAGTGACTTTTCCTACAGTTTAAAAAAAGCGTTGCTATTCTCTCAAGTGACATTTACACTAAAGTAACAGCAAGGCCTATGCATTTTTCAAGGAGCCAAACATCTTCTGAGTTTCTATAAATGGCCTATTTTCAGCTTCTGCGGAGCGTCAGAGCCCTACCCTGAGTCACATTTCTCCAGCTTTGCTCATCCTCTCAGGGCAGATCATGCTCTTATGATTGCTCTTCATTAGTGGAGAAGTCTCTTTATACAAGTTGCAATGCAGCTGCCGTTTCAGATAGGAAAATTATCTTTAGCTTGGTCACAAAAGGGCACATTAACGCACACATGGCTCAACAGCAAGCCCTTAAATTTAGAGCCGTCATCTGGTCAGACGTTTGGTTTCCCACTGCTGTGATGGCAATTCCTGCATCACTCGCATTCCTGTCACTCGCCACTTAGGAGGTGGAGCGCCAGGAGACAGTGCCTTCTTGATAGGAGGAACAGCCTCCCATGCTCCCACAGCCGGGAGCTGAGAGGCTGAAAACCAGCTTTTCGGCGGGCTGGTTTGCTCTGTACAGTGACAGTCAACCTGCAGGCACTAGGGTCGAGGGCAGCAGGAGGGTGAAGGAGGAAGCATGGGCTATGGGGCTCGGGTGGGTTTGGTTAAGCAAGGTGGTGGGGACCCCAGCACTCCTGCACTTTACCAATCCCCTGCAGCAGTCAGTGCAAGGCACCTCGAGACGCAAGACTGATGTGCAGCAGCCACGCAACTGTGCACCAGTCAGGCTACGAGCCAGGTCCAGCAGCTCAGCCCCAGCAAGGCTACCCTTCTGGTCGGCGTAGAAAAAAGCAGAGCCTTTAGCACAATTATCCATGAACAAATGTTTGTCATTACAGCAATTATTATTACTCTGATGCAGGAGATCCTAGAAAAGCAGCCTGGACCCGGATCTGGAGATGTGCTGTGCCACTGCGACCTTAGAGAAGTACATGAACTATGACTAGTTTGAATTTCATATTCAATTTTTAGTTTTGACTGTTCTGCTGTGGAAGGAGCTGGAGTGAAGAGCAGGCAGGAAGGCAGAGGATAACCCACCCCAGGGTGCTAAATTCCCTGTAACAGCTTAAAATACCCACACCTACCATGGCAATCCCCATCTTGGCTATGTGTGGACGACTGCTCTCAGAGGCAGCCACAGCCCCCTCCTAGTAATCAGAGGTAGCCTGCAAGTGGCAGCTCAGCTGGGACCAGAGCGCAGCCTCCGCAGGGCTGACCTTGTCGCCTCCCGCCAGAAGGACGGAGACTGTCAGCACCGACGGGCGAAAGGCAGGACAGACATCGGATGTCAGGGCGTACAGGCAACGCTTCTGGAAAGCGGTCCAGGTTTCAAAGCATCTTGCAGAGATATGAAGCCAGGGCTGCATATAGCAAAGGCCTTGAGGGTTGAGGACAGGTGCAGAGCTTGCTGAAACACAGCTGAAATCCCCACAGGGAGAATTTCATTTGCTACGTACCCCAAGCAGAGTCGCTGGGAAGGGACAGTGCCCTCACAGCCTCGCCGGTGAAGCCGGACGGTGCTGATGACTCACGCAGCTCCCGTGGGAAGCGCGTCAGGAGCACTAACCGTGCCCGCGGTGGCAGGACATTTTGTATCGCTCCCTGGCCCGCCAAACAAGCTGTGCAGGTTTAGCATCGCATCCTCCAGCACAGCCTCCAGGACCAGTACATTCACTGGCTGTCCCTGACCTCCACGTCCCAGGCCTCTTCTGCCCTACCTTGCTAATGAGTGCTGAGAGACAAAGCAAATAGCCCGTCTGCTGTAAACAGCAAGAGGGCTTTCTACTGCCAAAAGTAAGAAAGCAGGTAAATTCTGCCTAAGTATAATTGTTTTCATTTATACAACGTGCTGAAACGCCCACCTCCACAAACAGCTCTCCCGACCTGTGCTAGGGTTCAAGCATCGTTTAACACAGGTCCCCCCAACACCTGCACTCCAAAAAAATTACAAGATCCTCCAACACAACTGTAATATTATATTCAAATTTTAAATCCACACACCTCTGGACATTCAGGAAAGTGTTAACCCTAATTCACCACAAATCTGCTCCATCAAATCTATTCTCAATGCCTTCCTAAGATGGCAGCTTTGATTTCTTGCTATTTTTCATTAAATCTACCAATACATTTTTCATTCAATCAATGAAGGAAGCATCACAACAAAATATATATGTAATATACAGAAGCTGCACAGGACTAACACTATTACAACTTTAAATCCTCAAAAAATTGAAATTCATATTGACTACCAAGAGAGCAAGATATTAGGTCTTATTGTCCAAAGTATTCATCAGACACATTAGAAGACAGCCCAAACACTTGCACTTGGTAAGTCTGAAGAGCACACGAGTTAGTATGCATGAAGACCAATAAAAAGGTTCAAGGAGAAAAATTAAATCAGATGGGAGATGAACACACAGCATAGGTCATCTACAGGGAAGACTGTTCCTATCATGAATACAGGAAAACAAAGCAAAAAAAAAGGCAACATTTATTATTATGAGGGGGATGGAATAGTTTGTTTCTGAAAACCTCTGAGCAAACAAATAGATGCTGTAGAACAAGTGAAAAAGAAAAGCATCCCGTATGACATTGGAAATACTCCTTTCACTGCTTTGCACTGGTACAGCCCCCCTGCAGCACTGTGCCCTTTCTGGGGCACTGAAACCCAAGAGCAGCATCGAACTCCATGCAGGGAACCAGTGGAGACCTGGGGAAGGTGGCCCACGCGGGACCACTGTGTCCCGTCCATGGTGGAGAGCAGGGGGGTGTGGTCGTGCTCCTCAGGTGGGCGAGCAGGGAGGGCAGGAGCAGGGCAGCAACGGGCTCAGGCTGCAACAGGCTGCTCGGGGAGGCTGCGGAGCAGCACAGGTACTGCTGAGTCAGAGGATCTGCAGGATCATCCCTCAATGCTCTGACAACCCCAGGAAAAAGAACAAACAAGAAATCAGAACTGGGTAAAGCGACAGAAACAGTAGCAAGCAAGACAAATTCCAAGAAAACACAAAAATGTCATAGAGAAAACATAGAGACTGATTTCCCCTGGGTGCAACGTGGCGTGACGGCAGTCTTGTGCACGCTTGTGCTGGGAAGCCCAGCCTCTAACTGCACAACCTCCCATGTGCACTAGCATGCTAACAGCAGGAAATTACGGAAAGCCCTTTTCTATTCATATATACACGGGGAGAAAGAGCAACTAACCTCAGTGAAGATACAGGGCTTTTTGGTGATAAATTCTGTTATGAGTCCAATCCGACCCCGATTTCAGCATTTCATTGCAGGCTGCAGCACGCGGCTGTCACTTCCACGGCCACAGGGACTGCAGCACACAGGAGGATTTGGTGCATGCCGAGTCACCAGCCACACCGAATCGCCAGCAAAAGACAGAGGCTTGATAAAACCCCCGGCTGAAAAAAAGAACACCCCCCCCCCCGCCAGCAACCCTCAAATCTACTGGGAAACTTTTTCAGTGCTTTGAAATAAGAAAGCAGACCAAGGGCTTGGTTTCTGACATAAAGAGGTGGCCAACAAGTGTCACCAGCATAGGTATTGATGATTCTTGGAAAAACTGCCAAGTTTGAAGGCAGAAGTCTGTTCAGAATGAAGGCTGTTTTCAAGCAGCACTGGAGGCAGGAGTTAACCTTTTGAGGGATAGCCTGACTCGAGAACAGCTCTTATTTGACTCATGCAGGGTTTTGATTTATGAGGTTTTTTCATAGCTTAAGTATAAACCTGAGTCAAAGTTCAGAGCTATTATTTTTACTGTATAAAAATAATAAACCAATGTCAACCAACCCCTCTGTAGTTGCTACAATTTCTTTTTTCTTTTCTTTGACTTTCAGCATAACTTTAAAGATAAACACCAGGGCTTTTTTTGAGAAACTCTACATACCTCAGGTGACCATTTCCTATAAACTCAAGAGAAGT